GAATACCAAAATTCTGTCTTCGCCTGCCTCGCGGCAAAGTTATTTTATGAATTTCACTTGTTATTGAAAGTACACAAGTTCAGTCAATTATTGACGGAAATTAATGCATTATTTATGAAGTTTAGAGAATTTATTTTCATTTGATAATAGATTTGCTGTTTTAAAATGTTCACTTGAAGAATTGTCTGTGTAAAGTTAGCCGATCTGGAAGGAAGTCCCTTTCTCTGTAGATGCAGCTGGCTGCAATTACACCACAGAGAGCGCTGATAGAATATGAGCGTGTGTGTGGAAGGATCTTTGTTATAAAATATACCAGGGCAGTGATATTTTCGAAATAAAATAATTTTATTTGTGTGAAACGTGTCGAAGCAATAGTGCTTGTTGCGATGTGCTGGATTCGAAAGTAAGTGTCCAGTGGAAATCAAAGCCAGAACCACGTGCGCAGGAGGTGTATAATATACCTGACTCAGTCACGACGCGTAAATATATTATGTAAAGTAATGATTCAGTATAGTATTTTATTTAACATAGTTTTAATTAATTTGAATTGCTTACATTTTTATTACATTTTCGTATTTTGAATTGTGTAAATTACATTTGTCATTCGATGGAGTGGTAACCTCCAGTCTGTTGGAGCACCAGCCATCACTGAATTAAACACTAAATTCAGTTCATTGTGTTAGGCATTCAGAATTCTTTCAAATTCTGTCAACCTGTTGCATGTATTTTGCAAATATATATTCTCGCCTTAGATAATATCTGGCGGCCGTAAGATGGCATAATATTCTGGGGAAGCTCATCCTACAGAATCTCGACTTTAAGATTGTAGAAAAGAATTATTCTAATAATAAGAAAATGCAATCCATGTACATTAGTGCAAACGTCTCTTCAATGAGCTTGGAATCTTACCTTTGCTTTGCCTGTTTACAATATTTACGAATCTCTAGTTTTTGTGGAAATTGACTTGACAATGGGAACACATTTTCATGCATTACTAATATTTATAATTACGACACATATCGTAGAAATCACACTCATCGGATGTCAGAATCAACAGCTCACTACAAGAAATCCTTATATAAAACGTGTCCTTTATTGTACAACACATTGCCAGAAAACATTAGACAATTAAAATTGATACACAAACTTAAGTTCAAAGTAAAATATTTTCTGCTGCATAACTGTTTCTATACACACAGATACTGTACTGACCATCAAAAAGAATAATAATATTTACTTTGACTGATATATAATGAATTACCAGACCGAAAAATTTACAGTTTGCATTTGAGTTATATATTTTTTAAATACTTAATATACCTGTAACAAGTAACGTACTTCAGCTTTCGAGTCAATGCCCTCCATCTCGATCAGGTTTTTGACCAGTTTCCCTGATCTATTGAAAGAATGCTGAGATGCCCCCCCCCCCCAGCTAGTTGTGGTTGGAGTAGAGAAGGGGGCTATGGGTTACTATTTTCTTATACGGTGTGTGCCCAAATGGAGACTACACTAAGATGGAAAAAGAACATTAATGTCAACATGCGAATTACATTTAATTTGGGTCAGTACACTTTTATATAATCACCATTTACATTGACACACTTATCCGTGCGTAAAAAGCGTGGCTTCCGTGTAAAAAAACTCGTGGGTTGCTGACAGATCCATTCTTCCACGGTGGTTTGCACGTCCTCGTCGGAGATGAATCTCTGCCCTTTGAAAACAAATTTAGAGGGTTGAAGATATGGGAGTCGCATGGGGAGATAGTGGGGCTATAAGGAGAATGTTGCAGGACCTCCCAACGAAACTTCGCAAAATGCGCGAGGGTCTTCTTGGCAATACCCCAGCTTTGTGCGGATGATGCGATACACCGTTCCTTTGCTTAACGCCAATTGAATAGTAATTTCACGGGCGGTGATCCGACGATTCTGCCATAGGAGCTCATCCGCAGCAGTTCAGCTCCGTTGGTCACAACGTGCGTCTGCCCCGGGCATGGCAAATCCTTGATGTCCACGCGTTCGCTGACACCACCGGAATACTGTACACCATGCGAGACACTGCTTGCCGTGCACCTCCTGCATCCTGCGATGAATTTGGGACGCATGCTGCCCTTCTGCGCGATGAAATCGGGTCTCTGCTCTTCGTGTTGCTCTGAAGGCATCGTTCATGCAACGAACTTCGGAAACAACGCTACCGAAATGAGGCAATCGTTGGACGTCCTCTCTGCCTGTGCAACGGAGAACAACCAACGTGCTATGGATGGTCTACGACGTGCACTTACGGGGAGTTTGATACAACCCCGCTACGGCTACGGTCTCCTTTTCATTTGGGCACACCCTACCGACAACTCAATTGCGTAGTTTACCAATGCAAACCATTTTCTGTAACTGGGGAACGAAAACATCTATTTTCAAATTGTACATCTCTTCCATACTCCTACAGTGTGTACTGTTCATTGACTAAATAAATCAGATCAAAACCGTTAACCTCACTCCCTCTAGATATCTTGCGTACATTAATTGTTTCAAATTTCGAAAGGAACCGTTCAAAGAAAATAAAATTTCTCATCACAATAAAAAATGTACCTTTTCTTACTCGTTTATAGAGTAAGAAAAGGTACATTTTAACAAGTTTCGCAGACTGTTGGAATATTTCTGTCAAATGCTATGTTAGTGAATTCCCGGCGCCTTCCACCATATCAAGAACAATCATAACAATTGCGCATCGCCATTCATCCATCCATCTATGTTATTTCAAATTATCCATTGTATAGAATTAAAGAGAATCCACAGTATTTCCTTTTCCATTGTTTTGGTAAAGTACTCATTAAACTTTCATCCCCACAGATTCAATGTTCACTTCCTAGGACACAGGTAGGCCTCTCAGACTCCATGTTTTATACCTCAGAGATCCTTTTTTAAAATTAATTTCTGCTTTTTGCTGTTCTTTAAAAGACTTTTAGTACAATAGGTTAGTTACATAGTTTAAATATAATGGTTAAGTAGTAATATTTTTATGAAAATAAAGAATAGTAATAAGGAGGAAGAGAAATCAAAAACTGAATAAGTATAAACGTAAACCAAATAAATTTATTAAAAAAAACTCATAAAAATCAGATCAATTAATGAAACTAATAAAGGTAACAAAATAACTCTGAAAAGTGTGGATAACTGGTTCTGAAGATTTTATCTTCGTTATATGAAGAACCAGGGACATCCATGGACAATAAGGAAAGAATCTTTCAACCGTTAGCAGAATTAAAAATTAACTAATTAAAATTTTATTAATTTTATTATTTATTGTCAGTTTGAAATTACACTAAACCCTAATTAACTTTTGGTATAACCAAGAAATAAGGAACAGTAAATGGAAGCCACATGTATCTTTAGAGACCTTCACATAGTGGAACTGCCAGCCACATGTAGGTCTCTCAGACCCAGACTATTGAAAACAAACTTTCTTACCTGATATTCGGTGATTTGGAACAGTGCTGACACCATTAATTAGGCTTCAGGATACTAACTGAGATTTATGTAGTGGTCTCATGAGCAAGAACAGCACAGGAGTGTCAACAATTGCTATTGTAAATTTTCTGAAGCTTACCGGGGGGGGGTAATGGTTAATTAATTGTTCAGTTGAGATGCTCAGATTAATAGCGGCAGATTCCAACCAAAGTTCGTTTTGAGATAAATGACTTTCTGTTTTTGTTCATGTTCACTTACACTTCTCACGATTTTTTTAAGGTGGCATTTGAGGATTTTCCATATCCCAATTAATTTGATATTTCAACATATGACAGGTATTTAGCAGGAGTTTACCATCATACTTCTAACTGCGAGATCGGTTGGGATCTACCTGAGTGCCTCAATTGGGTTGTAGCAAAATTCATGAAACAAGATCACGTAATGGGGAATAACTACCCTAGTATTCCATTGAGTTCTTGTAGCTATTGATTTTGGAACATCCTTATATTTTCTTGTAGCTCCATTGGCCAATCCTCGCACACAAATCATTTTAAAAAATTTACAGTGTCAAAACCACAAAAAGTTATTACAAAATATGTAGTGTTCAAATGGAAGAGGAGTGGTGTAGTATCTGTGAGTGAGTACAAGCAAATTTCTAGCCAAAGAAGCTAGCGGAGCTTCCAGCTTAGAAGCACCCATTGGTATTACTAGTAATGTGATCTGCTCCTGAACATGGAACCATAATTGATAGTTTGGTATACTTTCCTTTAAAATTACTTCACTAAGTCCTTCTTACATTTTTTTATGTAATCTAATGCACATTCACGCAATATTTTTACTTTCGTGTTAATTTTTGTATTTGACATGTTTTTTAGCTAAGGTGAAATGAAGATTTAGGAATGTGGATTGGATCTTCATTCAATTATATAAAGGATGATTTATATATGAAATTCTTTAAAATACTATTCAAAACAAAAATAATAGTAATAGAAAAACAATTGGTTTTGATAAAACCTGATTGTATCTTTGGGACGGGGTGCATGTGAGTTTTCAGGTGTTTTTTGGTTTGTTTTTTGTGTGTGCATGTGACCACTGGAAGTACAGGGGAGATTCATATGTGGGTACTTGCCAACATGTTTGCAGTTTTCTTGACAATCCTGAAAATTAGTTTGCATGTTTTGTTCTTATTTGTCGTTAACACTGTTTTGGGATGACTTAAGTTCAAAAGTATGTTATTTGTACACTTATCTAATTGTTATTCCTTTATTATTTTGTAATTAAAATGAATGTGCCACTTCCATTGGTAATCATTGCTGAGTCACTTCTTTCTCTTGTTTTTCCTTCTCTCTTTTTCCTTTTCTTCTTCCTCTTTACTTCTGCTTTTTCAGCTTGGCCATGCCTTCCTTCTCTATGATAGCCCATCCCATAGACTTCCCATCTATTGCCTTCTCCAACACCTCCCAGCTGCTTGTTACATATTTAAATTATAATAAAATTAATAACACAATTATCTTATTTTATTAATTTGGTCTATTTCAGATAAAGCCAAACCTAAGATGTTTGTAAGCTCATTATCAGATTTTTCATCAGATGATGATCAACCTTTGGTGAAGAAAACAAGACCTCTTGAGCAAATGAAGCCTAGCAGCAAACAACAGCTTGCTCGGAAAATGGTTAAGCGAATTGTCAAGAGCTCTAGGAAGATGCACCCCCATATGATCACTCGATCACGGCAACAGTGTCAGGATGATGTTGGTCATTACCATTCTCTCCATATGCATCAACATATTCAAAAACAATCTCAACAGCGACAACAGTTGCAACAATCTGTACAACAGCAACATCAGCAGCAGCAGCAACAACTACAACATCCCCATCACCACCTTCACCCTCATCTGTTACAACAGCAGCAGCTGCGACAACAGCAACAGCTGCAGCCAACACGATCACAACAGTCGCAACAAATTGTGTCGAGGTATATTTCAAAAAAATGTTCGTTTACAGACATATATCTGCAGAACATTCTTAATTTTATCCCATTATTTTATTTATCTGTTCTGTCGTGTAGCTTGTAGTGTGAAGTGGAATTCGTTCCGCCAAAATAAAACTATTTCTGGTTAGCTCACATTAAACCTTCATTTTCGTTATAGAAGTGTGAAATAGGATTATTAAGTCTGCTACGACTTTATAACAGGGTGTTCAATGGTTTACATCTCCCTTTCGGGTGCGAATTGTCAAATTTCTCTGTTCAATGAATTGACAAGAAAAACACCATTTTAGCTTATGCAGCACCACTTGACTAAATCCTAAGAATGCTCTTGCATAGGTTTTACTTTCCTCGATTTCCCACATTTCAAAATGTGGTAAACATAAATGAGATATAGATATGGATTAATTGTGTCCCTGGCAGGAGTAAATTTCCTAGCACAACATCAAACTCTATGGAGGGACAATCTCCTGCAACGCCCTGCCAATTCGTCCCATGTTCCTTACACAATTGAGCTCTTCAAATTATTTCCCAATTAATTTCAAACATTGCAGATATTTGTGTCAGCTACCAAAAAATAGAGAGAAAAAAACGGATTTGATGATAACATGTTTATATCTTAGGTGTATGAGTGTAGTGTGTTGAGTGTGTGCATGTGATCACTACATATGAAAGAGCGGGTTCTTGTGTGATTGCTTGCCAATGTGTTTGCAGTTTAGTTGAGGATCCTGAAAAAAGAAGTGAATAATAAGTCCCATATTAACCTTACTGAAAGGGCAGGTGTTTTCCACCCAGGCATTCTTCAGCAGGATTTGAATATCCATTTGTAAAGTACTGGTGATTGAGATAACTTTTCTGTTGATAGGATAAATTGAGCATTACAAGTTATCATTCTAAGATCTAACTTTTACTATTAAATTCCTTTTCATTTGGTATTCGTCATTAAATTTTGTGTGACATTAGCACTTTTCAAAATTTATTGTAATGGATCACTGTTTGGTATTAAAATGCTCTGTATAAAATCCAAAGTTCAGTACTCTTGTTTTATAGGTCATTAAAATGTTTTTTCTCTGAATCTATTAATTTGGCTTCCCACATTTAATGATGAATGAGGCACATCCATAATCAAAGTTGTTGTTGCTGTTGCGAAGAACACTTCCAATTTAAGGGGGCAGTGATATTTGTTTGAGACAAATATTTGTGGCCTAGTATATAGGAATATTCATTGGTTGTCCCACATTATAAGTTAATGGAATAAAAAACACTCCCATTTCATGTCCAATTGCACAAAAATGTCAAAATTTGACTTTTATATTCGCATTGTGTTTTTAATTTTTATTTCTGTTATTATAAGTAAAATAAAATCTTGTTCATATTTTTATCCAAGATCTTGACTTGTGCATCACTCTAGGCATTCTAAATGAAGGGCTTCAGAGGAAAAAATGAGCTAACCCACAAGAAGTTGCTTTCTAGGAAAAGCCATTTCAAGTTTTAAAAAAAATGTATCAGTCATATTAGTTAAATATATTCAGATTTCTGTTGAAATCTTTACCCAAGTGTTGATATTTCTTTTCAATGGTTATGCACATTCATTATTGTATTTGGGCAAGGAAATTAATATTTAAAGGTGATGACGCGAGAAAACTAGTGGTTTCTACAGAATGGCAAAGACTTTCTCATACTAGATTCTTTATTTCCTTAGTATTAGCATTGTTTTCAGTTTTGTCCCTCTTCTCAACTGCCATCTATTTGCCCCTGAAAGACATTTTTGCATGTTTTCTTGATTTTTGTGAATCCCTAATAGCAGATTTGAAATATGACTTTAAGAATATTGGAGAACGGTTACAATCTGGTCCTATATGTACATTTTCATTTTAAAAATTTGGAGGCAAAAAAAAAAAGTTATTTGAGCATATATGATAAACCACTCTAAGAAACTCATTTCACTCAAACAGAGTTTTCAAGAAAATATATTTAAAATCATTTGAATCACTAGTACTCACAAATAAAATAATGTATACAAATCGTCGATAATGTACATATTAACGACATGAGATATATTTAAAAATATTACTTTTGTGTAATTATTTGAAGGGAAATGCAGCAAAATAGATTTTATATCATGTTATTCCGTGCTTTTAACACTAGCCATACAAAAAGTTTGAAGAAAAAAATTTGAGCCTTTTTGAGAATATGGCATTCTAAGTGTTTCTGAATACACGTAATTTTTCACTTATACATAAAGAAATGGTGTTGAGTTTTCGTGAAACTCTATAAGACATCATTTTAAGCACTTGTACTCAATGCAATAGTGTGTTCAAATCACACATAATGTAAACATTAACGATGTGAGAGCAATGTCAAAAACATTACATTTGTGTAATTTATGGAAAAACAAAGGAATTCAGCAAAATAGTTTTTCTTTTCTTATACTGTGCATTTAGCACTATCCATACAAAACATTTAAAGAATAAATTTAGAGCAGTTTTGAGAAAATTTTGTTTTCACTACTTTCTAAAATTGCTGATATTTCACTCATATAATGGGAAGACTACTTAAATATCCAAACAAAATCTATATAACATTTATCCATGAACTGATTGTGAAAAGCAAATTTCATTTAAAGAAAAAGTCTCTTATCTTTAAAATTGTAATTGTAGGATGATAACAAAATTTTTTCTAATTTTTGCAATTTTTGAAAATTTCAGAGATAAACAGTAAAAATCTGATCAATTTCATCTTTATAAGTATATTTTATTCTTAAAGCATTTTAAGAAAAAAATTGGAGGTAATTTTGAAAATGTCCCAGGGTACTTCATGTAAAGTACCCCCAAAAATTTCAAGAATGTTTTTCAAAATTGCGGAGCTTCTAGTTTATCCACATTGACCGGGAATATTAATTTTGGAAATAATTGTACAAATAGTTAAGGCGAAGTGTTGTGCATAGACAACAAACAAATGTTTTAAAAACAAAACTTTTTCGGTATTAGGGGACCCAAAAACATGTGTTTCTGTTGAAATTTTGAAATCAATTTTCCGCAGCATTATATAACTTTCTCTGTATTACATATATTACTCTGTGTTCTACGTATGTATACGAAAAAGTAAAATTCAATTAGTACCTCCTTTCCCCAGGTAATCATGCAATGAAATGTCTAATAAACAATTTAATAAAGATTTCGTCTTTTGAGAGATGATAGAACTATCAGCATTCATTGGATGTTTTTCATTTTCTCGTTGTTCATAAAACAGTGGATTAGAATCTTTCCTCCCTGAGCCCTTCAATTAGTGACATCCAAATTTATTACTTTTGGAAATATTGCATGTTGAAATGTTTTTAAATAATGTTTGTTACTAAATTGGAAATTATTATATCACTGTAAAAATGGATGTTAGATAATCAAATTGTGTATAAAATGTTGACAAATATTATGTTTAGTGATGGATTTTAATGATTTCCAACACTTCTTGAAAAATATTTAACATACCTAGAATTCTTTAAAAAATATTCTTAATCTGCTTTGTTACATATCTCTTCAAACAATCAGTATGAGAGATCTCTTTCTAGAATGAGAATTAATATTTACACAAAACCATGGAATGTACAGTTGCTGCAGGCATTACCCTGGTGTGCTAACCACCCTGAAATAGTGATGCAAGTCATGCAGTTAACAAAACATTTCTTACTGTAATGATGCATTCTTCAGAAGTGCATTAAGAACTCGAGATTCAATACATTTCTGACCACTTATGTTACAATCTTTTTTTCATCAGGGTTGCGTTTTGGAGTAGTTAGGAGGGTAACATACTTGAAATCACCAAACTGACCGGGAAGGGGGAGGGAGACGTTTAATACAGGGGCCTTTTTTCTCTTATATCTTGAATACAGTACATAGTAGCAAATAATTATTCACTTTTCACAGCTAACAATATTTGTTACAAAATTTTCATTTTTCGCCTTTTTTGTTCGGTATGTTTTTCGAGATATATGCTGTATGTATATGTTTTTACTCCACCATTTTTCGACAAACTTTGCCTTCTAGCACCTCAGTCCTCGGTTTCACAGCTAAGTTCTCCTTTTGGAATATGTAAAGATTTTTTTCAAATGAGTTTGTTAAAAAATTTTGTCTAAATGATCAAGATTGTAATCTGAATTTTTCGCACTAATTTCGAGATCCTGAAAGAACAGTTTATTGCACTTTCACATTATTTAGGAGACACATTTTTGTCTGTATGATATTGTATTGTATATTCATATCAAGTCTCCTGAGGAGCAGGTAAGTGTGTAAAAACACCATTTATTAAAATTGCATTTGTTGAAAATCCAAGTAAATAGTGCAGTGGTAAAGATGGTATTGGTTTTTTAGCCATAAAGGGACAAATTCGTTGCAGCTGCTCTGCACGGAAATAATCTGTGCATTGACCGAAAATCATTTTGAAAAACTTTTCTAGTGCCCTGAAGTCTTTCTGTGAAAGCAAAGAGAATCTGACTGTCCTTCAGTCTCAGCTGCTGCATCTGTTGATCAGATTATGCATTGCTTTTGGCTTTTTCTTGGCCAGTTTAAAATGTTTCAGTCTGCTGGAGTTTTAACCATTGATAAAACTGTCAATCCAACGTGTTCATCTGCGTCAGTGACAATTTCTGGCGTTTTTATGGCTGTTGCAACAATCAATTCATCAGCATTGTTTCTTTCTTTAAGTGTCTCTGACCCATTTTCCTTTTGATGGTCACTTCACAATCATCCTTAACAGGTGGAACGATAAACTTGATGCATCTGACGTCAAATGAATGTGCTTCTGGATGGAAGCTAACTGCATCTATGGCTTCATGACCACCTTACATGACTAGTCTGATGAACTTGCGATTAAAATAGTTAAACATAAAAAGTATAAATGTATTTCCCCCTGGAAATTGCCGTTTTGGTAGGTGAGCTGCAATGTAAAGAAAGAATTACTACACTTTTGTGTATGACAAAGTTAGTCGGAAA